TTTTTTTTTTTTTTTTTTTTTTTGAGACGGAGTCTTGCTTTGTAGCCCAGGCTGGAATGCAGTGGCATGATCTCAGCTCACTGCAACTTCTGCCTCCCTGTCCCGATTCAAGCAATTCTCCTGCCTCAGCCTCCTGAGTAGCTGAAATTACAGGCATGTGCCACCATACTCAGCTAATTTTTGTATTTTTAGTAGAGATGGGGTTTCACCATGTTGGCCAGGCTGGTCTTGAACTCCTGACCTCATGATCCACCCGCCTTGGGCTCCCAAAGTGCTGAGATCACAGGTGTGAGCCACTATGCCCGGCCCACCTTTCTGTTTTACAAAGGGACTCCACCACCTGCCTTCAGCCCAGAGTCAGTTTTAGTGAAACATTCACCAGATCTTCCTCCACTGCCACTCGGAGGAGCCCGGAGCCCTGGACTGTGGTTAAGTTGAAGTGGAGTTGAACTAAAGGAGAATAATATTCAGAACAGCCACGTAGCCCTTGGGCTGAGATACTGTGGGACGTCAGCGCTGGAAGAGACTCTAGGGTTCACTCACTCCACATCTCCCTCATTTTACCCCTGAGAAAACTGAGAGCCCACAGAGTGAGAGGACTCACCCAGGTCACACTGCTGGAGGGGAGGAGCAGGCTAGAACCCAGGTGCTCTGTCTCTCTACTGACTTTGCCACTCCATTTGTTTTCCTGTTTGAGAAGCAGAAGAGGCTAAAGTTATATGGGCCTGGGCGCAGTGGCTCACACCTGTCATCCCAGCCCTTTGTGAGGCCGAGGCGGATGGATCGTCTGAGGTCAGGAGTTCAAGACCTGCCTGGCCAACACGGTGAAACCCCTTCTCTACTAAAAATACAAAAATTAACCGGGTGTTGTGGCGGGCACCTGTAGTCCCAGCTACTCAGGAGGCTGAGGAAGGAGAATTGCTTGAACCTGGGAGGTGGAGGTTGCAGTGAACCAAGATGGTGCCATTGCACTCCAACCTGTGTGACAGGAGCAAGACTCCATCTCAAAAAAAAAGTTACATGGGAGCAGGAGAAGGAAGCCATCGCCCTCTGGTTCTCCAACTGTTAAATGGGAATAATGATGCTTTCCTGCCAACTCCCCTGCTTTTTCACGAAGCCTGAATGAGGGAATAGTGGGGAGGTGACAGCAGTGGCAGAATCATCTTCCTGGTGGCAACAGGACCCAGAGCAGAGGAGATGGTGAAAGAGCTGAGGGTGGGCAGCGCAGATGGGCTCAGAAGAGGTGGGTTCACCTTGTCGTCCTCCCTAGGTGGGGCCCAGGCCTGGGTTGCCATGGATACCGTGTCCCTGGAGCATCAGATCCAGAGCGTGCAACGCCACATCAGCTTCCTGAAAAAGGAGCAGATGGCCCTGCTGCGAGACCTGCACCTGGAGATCCTGAGGCTGCAGAAACGCTGCTCAGGTGAGGCCGGGAGAGGCAGCCGAACGGGTGGGGAGGGGTTGCTGTCATCATCACAACCACGGTCTCTGGGCTGTGCCCACCAACAGCCCCCATGAGCCTCACACTGCACCAATTCCGCTGCCTCTTTTTTTGAATAAGGAAACTGGGACTTAGGGAGGTGAGATGGAAAGAGAAGTTGGAAAAGTTCTAGAAACACCTGAGAGTTTCAGGGCAAAGAGCTCTGGTTAGGGCCTGGCACGGTGGCTCACGCCTGTAATCCCAGCACTTTGGGAGGCTGAGGTGGGCGGATCATGAGGTCAGGAGATCATCTACTAAAATACAAAAAATTAACTGGGTATGGTGGCAGGTGCCTGTAGTCCCAGCTACTCAGGAGGCTGAGGCAGAGGAATCACTTGAAGCCAGGAGGCAGAGATTGTAGTGAGCTGAGATCGCACCACTGCACTCCAGCCTGGGCGACAGAGCAAGACTCTGTCTCAAAAAAAAAAAAAAAAAAAAACCTCTGGTTAGGTAGTGGAGGACTCCTGGGAACCAATTCCCAGAGGTTCCCACCCTTTCCAAGTCACCGTTCACCAAGCAACTCCCAGCCCTCAGTCTAGCTAGGGAGACAAACAGGTCAACTAGTGATATTAAGGTAGAGCAGAAATCAAGCAGGAGCTCATGGGCAGGAGCATGTCCAGCTTGAGGAGCAGGTGCTGAAGGAGGAGGTCCAGCATCCGAGGCTCCCCAGAGGAGAGGTGCTTCAACTCCCTGGAGGCTGCATAACATGTGGACATGCCGAGATATCATATGGGAAAGGGGAGTAAAGAGAGCATTCCAGATGAAGGGAAGAGCACGGCAAAGGCCAGAAGCTCGGAATCCAAAAGCTCATGGAAGGTTCTAGTTGATAAAGTAGTACTTAAAGGAGACTGATAAGAAATCCAGCTGGAGGCTGGGCGTGGTGGCTCACACCTATAATCCCAGCACTCTGGGAGGCGGAGGGGGGTGGATCACCTGAGGTCAGAAGTTTGAGACCAGCCTGGCCAACATGGCGAAATACTGTCTCTACTAAAAATACAAAAATTAGCCCGGCATGGTGGCGCATGCCTGTAATCCTAGTTACTAAGGAGGCTGAGACCGGAGAATTGTTTGAACCCAGGAGGTGGAGGTTGCAGTGAGCCAAGATTGCGCCACTGCACTCCAGCATGGGCAACAGAGCAAGACTCCATCTCAAAAAAAGAAAGAAAGAAAGAAAAGAAATCCAGGTGGAGCCAAAGTGTGGAAGACCTTGACAAACACCATGACTGCCAAGGAGTCCTGCTGGGTAGCGGGGAGCCACAGAAAGTTTTTGAGCAGCTGCCTGATCAGCATTATCCTGCATTAAGAAACGCAGTCTGGGCCGGGCTCGGTGGCTCAAGCCTGTAATCCCAGCACTTTGGGAGGCCGAGACGGGCGGATCACGAGGTCAGGAGATCGAGACCATCCTGGCTAACACGGTGAAACCCCGTCTCTACTAAAAAGTACAAAAAACTAGCCAGGCGAGGTGGCGGGCGCCTGTAGTCCCAGCTACTCCGGAGGCTGAGGCAGGAGAATGGCGTAAACCCGGGAGGCGGAGCTTGCGGTGAGCAGAGATCCGGCCACTGCACTCCAGCCTGGGTGACAGAGCCAGACTCCGTCTCAAAAAAAAAAAAAAAAGGAAACGCAGTCTGGGCCGGGTGTGGTGGCTGATGCCTGTAATCCCAGCACTTTGGGAGGCTAAGGTGGGTGGATCACCTGAGGTCCAGGAGTTCAAGACCAGCCTGGCCAACATGGCAAAACCCCGTCTCTACTAAAAATACAAAACATTAGCCAGGCGTGGGGGTGCGCGCATGTAATCCCAGCTACTCAGAAGGCTGAGGCAGGAGAATTGCTTAAACCCAGGAGGTAGAGGTTGCAGTGAGCCGAGATCATGCCATTGCACTCTAGCCTGGGCTACAGAGTGAGACTCCGTCTAAAACAAAAACAAAAAGGAAACTCTGTCTGGCAGTTGTATGGAAGCTGAATTGGTGGGAGAGGGAGGTAGGGAGACCAGCAGAGGTGATGAATGTTCCAGGGGACGGATGAAGAGGGGTAGAATGGGGACGACCCATGGGAGGTAGGTTGAAGGAAAGCACTTGCCTGCTGAATGGATTTGTGAGCAGAGCTGAGGGAGGCACCAAGGATGAAGTGAAATCCCAGGCCTGGCCTCTGCGCTTGGACTTGGGGCCTCAGCTGCCTGGGCTTCTCAGAGGCTTGGCTCTGGCCCGAGTGCTCACCGAGGCCGCGTCTCCACATGCACACTCTGGAGCCAGTGACTCACAGACCGTCTCAGCTGGGAGGGCCTGGCTTCTTCGTCGTACCTACTTAGGTAAACCAAGGCCCAGAGAAAGAGTCACACAATGTGTCAGTGGTGGAGGGAAGATGAGAACCCAGAGCTCCAGACTCACACCCCTCCGTGCCTCTGCAGCTTTCTGGACATTCTCTCCCCAAGATGCTCAGACTTCAACTTCCCTTCCAGCACCTGCTCCTGGGAGCTCCCCACGGCCCAGGGAAACCTCTGAGTCCCAAACGATCTGAGTGGTCCACCTGACTTCCCACAGTGTGACATGAGAAGCCAATAGTCCTGCCGGGCGCACTGGCTCACACCTGTAATCTCAGCACTTTGGGAGGCTGAGGCGGGCGGATCACCTGAGGTCAGGAGTTCAAGACCAGCCTGACCAATATGGAGAAACCCCGTCTCTACTAAAAATACAAAATTAGCCAGGCGTGGCAGCGGGTGCCTGGAATTCCAGCTACTCGGGAGGCTGAGGCAGGAGAATGGCTTGAACCTGGGAGGCGGAGGATGTGGTGAGCCGAGATTGCGCCATTGTACTCCACCCTGGGCAACAAGAGTGAAACTCTGTCTCAAAAAAAAAAAAACCGAGACGGGCGGATCACGAGGGCAGGAGATCGAGACCATCCTGGCTAAAACGGTGAAACCCCATCTCTACTAAAAAATACAAAAAAAACTAGCCAGGCGAGGTGGCGGGCGCCTGGAGTCCCAGCTACTCAGGAAGCTGAGGCAGGAGAATGGTGTGAACCCGGGAGGCGGAGCTTGCAGTGAGCTGAGATCCGGCCACTGCACTCCAGCCTGGGCGACAGAGCGAGACTCCGTCTCAAAAAAAAAAAAACAAAAAAACAAAAAACCCCAGTGGTCCTGACTCAGCCATCGCAGCTTCCAAAGGCTCCACAGACAGGGTCAGCCGCACATTCTAATCTCCCCTGAAGACTGGATGGGAGCAGAGGCCAGCGTCGGGGACAAGAAGGCCCAAGTACCTCACCCCTGCGTGATGCCACCTTTTCACTGCAATAACACAATTAGAAGAGGAAACCTAAGACGCCATAGCAACTCCTCTCATTTCTTTCTCTTTTGCCCCAATTCTGAGAACTTATGACCTCTTCCTTTTAGGACACAGGCCAGATATGTGGAGCAGGCAGGAACAGAGTGCCTCAGCCACGCCACCCTTCTCAGATCGGTATGGGCCTGAAACCTCTTTTTTTTATTATTACTATTATTTTTCATTTTTGAGACAGAGTCTTGCTCTGTCGCCCAGGCTGGAGTGCAATGGCACGATCTCAGCTCACTGCAACCTCTGCCTCCCGGGTTCAAGTGACTCTCCTGCCTCAGCCTCCCAAGTAGCTGGGATTACAGGTGCCCGCCACCACGCCTGGCTAATTGTTGTATTTTTATTAGAGATGAGGTTTCACCATGTTGGCCAGGCTGGTCTGGAACTCCTGACCTCAGATGATCTGCCCACCTTGGCCTCCCAAAGTGCTGGGATTACAGGCGTGAGCCACCGCGCCCGGCCACCTCTTGGTTACCGATTAAGGAGATAAAAATAACTGGGCCAGGCCAGAGCAGCCACTCTTGAGGCTGAAATGACTGAATAAGGGCTTTCCCCCAAGGAGGAGGTGATGAGAATGGAGAAGATAAGGGGAAGAAGATTAAAGAGGGACCCAGGGCTGGGAGGGGGTTGGGAGAGGGGAGAGGCTGGTGTAGGAGCCTAAGGGACAGGCTGCCCAGGGAGCTGGCTGAGGATAGGTGAGGACTCAGAATGAAGGGCCTGAGAGGTGGGTGTGTTCTGGGGTGGCAAAGCAGCCTGACTGATGACAAGAACTACTCACAGGCATTCAGCACCAACTCAGCCCTTGGCCAAGCCTGTTTATTTTTTCTCATTTAATCCTTGGACAGTCCCTTGGAGAAGAGGTGCTATTGTGCCCCCATTCTCCAGATGAGAAAACTGAGGCTCAGAGAAGTGCCGTTACTGGCCCAAGGTCACACAGCATATCTGACCTCACACCATGCTCATCTGTAGCCCAGCTGAGATTTTTATCACCCGACCCCCAATTCCTGTGTTTAAAGGCTGAAGAGAAACCACTCACAGGGAGTTAACGGCAGAGCCAAGGTATCTCCTCCGCTCCCAAATCACTGAAATTAGGCCAAGGTCCCTGGACGACATCACAAGGCCCTGGAGGAGGGGCCAAGTTGGTCCCAGGAAGCCCTGGAGGTGGAGGCATCAGAGTCCTCACAGGGGCCCCAGGGGACAGGTTCAGATTCTGGTCACAGCAGAAGGCTCAGGCACCCTCAGCTGCCTGTCTCCTAGCAACAACCAGCCTCCCCAGAGAAGGCACCTCTGGCAAAGCCCTGGGTCTCTGGCAGAGCCGGTGAGGGCAGTGAGGAGGAGGGGCAGAGGGGTCACAAGGCCCCTGAAGGCGCTGCTGGGTGGCAGTCCCAGAGATGCACCGCCTTCCTCCCCCGACCCCCGGTTCACACCTCCTCCCCGTGGGCACCAGACTGTCCCTGCGGGTGTACACAGGTGCCCCTGAGTCAGTCTGCATCACAGGCAGCTGTGACTTCTGGCTTCCTTCTGCCTTTGTACCAGTTCTTGAGCCCTGGTGGAGTTGGGGGAGTGGGGGTGGGGCTGGAAAAATTATCAGACTCACCTGAGCTGAGAAGTGGAGGGCACTAAGGAATGGAGACTGGGGGGAACAGGCAGGCAGAGGGGTGACGGCTGGGCTGCAGCACCCAGGAGGAAACTGCTCCTGCACCAGTGCCCTTGAGTGGCTCCTAGCCTGCCCGCCCCATCCCCTCAATGCCAATCCAGGCCCCCATCACTAGACGGCACTGTCCTCCTCGGAGCCCCTCTCCCTGCCGTGGGGAATATGGTGGAACTGGGGCTTGGGAAGGGGCAGCGCTGATGTTCAGACAGTAACACAGGCTGGACGGTACTGGCTGTCAAAATAGTGAAAAGCAAGCGTCCAGACGGGTAAGCAGCCACTGCCCTGAGCCTGCCTCCAGTGCCACCAAGCAGTTCTGGACACTCCAGCAGCCATCAGCTAAACACGAAAGGGTCAAAGCCCTGCACAGCAAGGGTTCTCCAGAACTGCTCTGATTGGCTGGCATATCACCCCAGGAAGGGCAGATAGTCCCCCAGCCCCGAAACAAGCCAGGCTCCTCAGTCCCACGAGGGATGAACTAAACTCCAAACCCAGGCGTAAAGCTTGAGCTGGGACGATTTCTGAGCTTGGAGTCAAGCTGGCCAGGTTCAGGCTATGCCCTGGACACATCTCTTCATCTCTTCCCCCAGCAAGGTTGTGGTAAAATAGTACGGGAGTGGCTTCTAAAGATCCTCATTGCCACTCTTACTGAGCTGTTATTCCATGATTTCTCTGTCTCACACACATACACACACACACAAACTGCCTTTTCTTTTCTTTCCCCCCAGAACTGACCCATGACCTGGAAATGAGAGAGGCCCAATCTCACCAGCAAGGTAAGAGAAGGACCACTGGTGGGGAAGTGTCGTGGGGCCCAACACTGGAGTTTTTCCCAGCCCTTAGTAGGACCCAAGCCTTCTCTGTCCCCAGCCTAGACTTGGGGACAGTCACTCCTTGGCTGGTGAGCAGAGTGCAGGATGTCAGCCACACTTGCCCAGTGGATGACACTGTGAAATGCCTTGTGCAGTGAACAGCCTGCACCACCACACATAGTACCCTGTATCCATGTTTCTGTCCAAAGTGAGGAAAGGAAAGGAGGAAGGAGATGGTAATGTGGCTTTACTTCCCCTTAGCCTGCTTAATTCCTTGCTGTGACCCACTTCCCCAGTCCTTCCCATCCTTGCACAAGTGATCACATGGTCAGTGTCAAGATTCACTGAACTGTGGCCGGGCGTGGTGGCTCAAGCCTGTAATCCCAGCACTTTGGGAGGCCGAGACGGGCAGATCACGAGGTCAGGAGATCAAGACCATCCTGGCTAACACGGTGAAACCCTGTCTCTACCAAAAAATACAAAAAACTAGCCGGGCGAGGTGGCGGGCGCCTGTAGTCCCAGCTACTCGGGAGGCTGAGGCAGGAGAATGGCGTGAACCCGGGAGGCGGAGCTTGCAGTGAGCTGAGATCCAGCCACAGCACTCCAGCCTGGGCGACAGAGCGAGACTCCATCTCAACAACAACAAAACATAAATAAAAAAAATTAAAAAAATAAAAAAAATATTTTAAAAGGCCAGGTGCGATGGCTCACTCCTGTAATCCCAGCACTTTGGGAGGCCGAGGCGGGTGGATCACGGGGTCAGGAGATCGAGACCATCCCAGCTAACATCGTGAAATCCCGTCTCTACTAAAAAATACACAAAATTAGCCAGGCGTGGTGGCGGGCACCTATAGTCCCAGCTGCTCGGGAGGCTGAGGCAGGAGAATGGCGTGAACCCGGGAGGAGGAGCTTGCTGTGAGCCGAGATGGCGCCACTGCACTCCAGCCTGGGCGATGAAGCGAGACTCCGTCTCAAACAAAACAAAACAAAAAATTAAAAAAATGTTAAAAGGAATCATAAAAATAGTCTTTCTTGGCCAGAAGAGTTCTTAAGAACAGAGTCTCTTCCATATTGATGTGTTGGTTATAGATGAAGTGCTACAGGCTGGACGTTTAAGCTATGGTGTTAGGGACCCTAGAACTTGCTTTACGTATTCGTGCATGAAGATCAGCTAGGGATCATCTAGACACTTACGAACTTGGACTAATTTTGCCCACTTTGGAAGACAACAACGGGCAACCTCTTGGTGCCTAGGTGGCTGGAGGAAGGCAGCACACATCCCAGACACTAGATTAGGACAGTTCTGTAACAAAGCCACTTTCACCCCACTTACTGTCCTTTGTCTGAAAGGGCTTTTGAGATCACCTGGGCCCAAGCCACTACCCCAGTGTCTTCATTTTTATCTTTTTTTTTTTCTTTTTTTTGAGACAGGGTCTCATACGCTGTCACCCAGGCTGGCGTGCCGTGGCGCCATCTCTGCTCACCGCAACCTCTGCCTCCTAGGCAGGCTCAAGAGATCCTTCCACCTCAACCTCGAGATTAGCTGGCACGACAAACACGTGCCACCACACCCAGCTTTTTTGTAGAGATGGGGTTTCGCCATGTCACCCAGGCTGGTCTCCTGAGCTTAAGCAATTTGCCCCCCTCAGCCTCCCAAAGTGCTAGGATTACAGGTGTGAGCCACTGTGCCTGGCCTATCTTCTCTTTCAGTGGGCTTTGAGAACGCTTTCTTTTTTTAGAGACAGGGTCTTGCTCTGTTGTCCAGGCTGTAGTGTGCAGTAGCACAATCATAGCTCACTGCAGCTTTGTACTCCTGGGCTCAAGAGATCCTTTTGCCTCAGCCCTCCCCTGAGTCACTGGGATGAGTGTGCCAACCCACTGGGCTTAAGAACTTTCTTTGTGCTTTTTTTTTTTTTTTTTTTGAGATGGAGTCTCGCTCTGTCGCCCCGGCTAAAGTGCAGTGGCGTGATCTCAGCTCACAGCAACCTCTGCCTCCCGGGGTCAACCAATTCTCCTAGTTCAGCCTCCCAAGTAGCTGGGATTACAGGCACATGCTACCATACCCAGCTAATTTTTGTATTTTTAGCAGAGACAGGATTTTGCTATGCTGGCCAGGCTGCTCTCGAACCCCTGACCTCGTGATCCACCCACCTTGGCCTCCCAGAGTGCTGGGATTACGGGCATGAGCCACTGTACCCAGCCCTCTTTGTCCTCTTATCACTTGGTGATTTTCATCTTTCCAGGGTCACTTTTTGCCACTTTCGGCTGCCTATGTCCCTACACTCACCTGTGCCAAGTCCTAGGCTATGGTCCTGCCGAGACAGAGCTTCCAGGAGGCAGGGGTTCTCAACTCACGCTGCACACGAGAACCACCAGGGGAAGATTTGAGCAACACCAGTTCCCAGGTCCAACTCCAGGGATGCTGGTTCACTTGGTCTTTCGTAGTGCCCAGGAAACAGCATTTTTAAAAGCTCTCTGGGTGGTTCCAATGTCTCTCCAACCTGCTGCAGTGGCAAAGGCCAACAATAAACAAGTAAACAAAAAATGACAAACATGTAGCCAGGCAGGGCGACTCACACCTATAATCCCAACACTTTGTGAGGCTGAGGCAGGAGGACTTCCTGAACCCAGGAGTTCGAGACCAGCCCAGGCAACATGGCAAACCCTCATCTCTACAAAAAATGTGCTTGCCTGTGGTCCCAGCTCCTGGGAAGGCTGAGGTGGGAGAATTACTTGAGCCCAGTGATAGAGTCTGCAGTGAGCTATGCCACTGCCTACCAGCCTGGCAACAGAGGGGGACTTTGTCTCAAAAAAAAAAAAAAAAAAGGCCGGGCATGGTGGCTCACGCCTGTAATCCCAGCACTTTGGGAGGCCGAGGCAGGCGGATCACAAGGTCAGGAGTTGGAGACCAGCCAGGCCAATATGATGAAACCCTGTCTCTAAAAATAAAAAAATAGATTAGCCGGGTGTGGTGGCAGGTGCCTGTAGTCCCAGCTACTCAGAAGGCTGAGGCAGGAGAATCACTTAAACCCAGGAGGCAGAGCTGCAGTGAGCCGAGATCACGCCACTGCACTCCAGCCTGGGCAAGAGTGACTCCGTCTCAAAAAAAAAAAAAAAAAAAAAAAGACATGTGAGAAATGCCCTATGGAGGAAACAAGGACACTGACTCCCTTCCTGTGCACACTCGCAGCTCTTTCCGTCTCTTGCTCTCTGGGCTTTTACACAAGCTGTTCCCTCCGTCTGCAGCATCCTTCTCTCCTGTCTTCACTGCTTAACTACTGTTTACCCTTCAGATCTTAGCTCAAGTATCTTCTGCTGGGAAGACTTCCCTGATTAGGTCACATTCTCCAGTTACAGTCACAGCATTGACTTTCCACGTCACATTTGCAACCTCACACTTATTTGTGATTATTTATTATGTCTCTCCCACTATGCGGTAAGCTTCGCGGAGACCGTTTTATTATGAGCCCTATCTCCAATACCTAACACAGTGCACAAAGTCAGGGCTCCACAAATTATCTGTGGAATGAATAAAGGGCCAGGGATGGGTTTGCACTTAAGTTGAAACCTGAAGAATCAGAGGCGAGGCCAAATAGAGGGTAGAACAGGTAGGAGGGCGGAACAAGGCAGGCCACGGAGCCGACGCGTGGGGAAGGAGGGGGAGCGCGGTAGGATGTGTAGGTGGGGACATGGGGAGGAGTGGGGCTTCCTTTTGTTTTTTTCTTTGCTTATTGAGACGGAATCTCGCTTTGTCACCCAGGCTGGAGTGCACTGGCGCGATCTCAGCTCACTGCAACCTCCACCTCCCGGGTTCAAGCGAGTCTCCTGTCTTAGCCTCCCGAGTAGCTAGGATTACAGGCGCCCACCACCACCATGCCCGGCTAATTTTTGTATTTTTAGTACAGACGGGGTTTCACCATGTTGGCCAGGCTGGTCTGGAACTCCTGACCTCAAATGATCCGCTCACCTCGAACTCCCAAAGTGCTGGCATTGCAGAAGTGAGCCCCTGCGCCCAGCCTTGGGGGTTTGTTACACGGAGGGCTGAGTTGTGCAGGTTCTGTTCCAAGCCAGGCGGAGAACGTCACCTCTGGCCTCTGCTCCGTTCCAGAGGCGGCATCACGGGAGCTCGAGAGCAAGTGCCGCGCGCTGGAGTCGCAGCTGGAGGCGCGGGCCGCGGCCAACGCGGAGCTGCGGCAGGAGGTGGCACAGCGCGAGGCTCTGGTGTCCGCGCTGCGCTGCAGCCTGCGCACCGAGGAGCGCCGCTTCCTGGAGGAGCTGCGCCGCCGCAGCCACCGCGCCACCGTGCTGGGCACCGAGCTGCAGAAGCACACCGAGGCGGCCGCCTACCTCTCCTGCCAGCTGCACGCGGCGCGCCAGAGACTGCAGGCCCCGCGCCCGGGCCCCGGTGCCGCAGCCGAGCCCCGGCTACGCCGCCGCGCACCGCGGGCCCGCCGCCCGCCTGCTGCCCACGAGGCCGCCGCCAAGGGCCCCGGCCGGGACTGGGCCGCCTGGGACCGCGGGGCCGGCGCCCTGGACGACACCGACCCGATGCCCGACCCCGCGCTCTTCCTCCGCAGCGCACGGAGGCCACTGAGGCCCAGCATCCGCAGCCCGCGCCAGCCGCCTCCGCAGGAGCCCCCGGACCGGGCCGGCCCGCAGCCCGCGCCCAGCCCGCCCTGCCCGCCCAGCGCGCCCGGGGACCCGGAGTAGGCGCGGGGCTGGCCTGGGTGACGCGGGGCGGACGGGGAGGGCCAGCCAGGGACGCAGCTCGGGCCCCGCAGACAGGTCCAGGGGGCGGAGGCCAGCCGCCCCTCCTCCAGGAAGCGGGGCGAAGCGGCCCCGGCTTCCCCCAAACCCCCGAACCGCCAGCCTTTTGTACTTCCCAACGTTTCCAAAGCTTCGAGCCTTCTCCTCGCGCGAGAGCTCCTCCGCGGGGCCGAGCGGGGCACCTTCTCTACCGAGAGGACTCGCAGTCCCGATCCTGGCCTGGTCCCACCTGCCAGTGAGACAGGAGGGACGGGGGCCACGCCCTGCCCCGGGAAAGCCGACAATCCTTGGTGGGGTGGGGAGGGCTGGGCTGGCCTACGGAAAGGTGCGCAGAGTGGCATTGATGCCCCAGGCCCCCCAGCTCCCCCCGCCTCCCCCACCCCCAGGCCGACGCCCTTACCACCAAGCCTTCTTCGTCTCCAGGAGAGGCCCGGCTAGGGGCTGGTCCTTCTACCCCCACCCCGACCCTGCCGATAGGTCCTTGCAGGTGAGCACGGAACACTTTAGAAGACATGTCCTCCCAGAGCTCCTGGTGGGAAAAGTGCGCCTGATGGGAGCGTAACTTCTGGAAGGTAGCATCCATGGGCCCTGGGAGAGGATTACAGAACCGCCTGGGTGGCCGGACTTGGTCTAGAGCCGTCTCCAGCTCAGCTCTTCCCAAGTCCGCCACCCCCCTGGGAACGCAGGGACTGGGAGCTGTGCTGGGGAAGGGAGATGACAGGCCTGCTGGCAGCCAGGCTTCCCGAAGGCAGGAGCTGTCTTCCCCCGCAGGAGGTAGCCCCAGGGGTTTTCCTAGTCCTGTTTATTGGTGCTAATTTTGCTCGGCTTCCTAATCAGCTGGCTGCATCCAGAGACAAGAAGAGGGCCTTGGTGAGGCGCGGTGGCTCACGCCTGTAATCCCGGCACTTTGGGATACCGAGGTGGGCGGATCACCTAAGGTCAGGAGTTCGAGACCAGCCTGGCCAACATGGTGAAACCCCGTCTCTACTAAAAAAATACAAAAATTAGCCGGGCGCGGTGGTGTGCGCCTGTAGTCCCAGCTACTGGGGAGGCTGAGGCAGGAGAATCGCTTGAACCTGGGAGGCGGAGGTTGCAGTGAGCCGAGATCGGGGCACTGCACTCCACCTGGGCAACAAGAGCAAAACTCCGTCTCAAAAACGAAAGAAAGGAGGGCCTGGCTTCTTGGAAGCAGCAGCTACTGATGGGAGTTTGGGTTTGCTGGGGGGATAGTAGGAGCACAGGTTAGTCCCCATCCTGGCCGCCTCCACAGATGCCCCTGAGCCTGTCAGAATCTGGCAGTGGCGGGCTGCTCAGTTCCCTGCTGTCTAGCCTGGGGAATGGCGACGTGGAAAGGGGAAAGCCCCACCTCCTAACACCCCGTCTCCTACGCTCCCCTGACACCACCAAAGGCAGGAAGGACAGTTTCAGCGCAGCTTCTTGCCCCTACCCCCAGCCCAGCCTAGAAGGAAACACACACCCCTCCAGCCCATGCCATCCCTCCTGTGTGGGTCCTGCATCAAGTCCTAAGTGCCTGTGAGGTCTTCCAGGGGCTTCGAGGGGAGGACGTGGGGCAGGGAGAGTCCTTTACCTCCCTCACAGACACCCCTTTCCTGACAGGTCCTGACCCTGGCTGAGGCCACACATTCTGTGTCACACAGGGGTCTGGGAGGTGAGCAGAATTAAGCTCTAGGGGTGACAAGCTCTTCTCCCATCACAGCCCCATGAAGAGGGGGGAGTCCCCGATCACACCCCCTTTCCCTCCATTTGTTAGAGGGAGCAGGAAGTTGGCAAGAAGTAGAGACCAGTGAGCAAGCACACTCAGGGCCAAGCAATGTGCGGCTCTCCCAGCTGACCCCACCCGGGACTGCCCAGACCACTGAGCAATAACCATGCCTGGTCTGGGGTGTCCAGCTCCTGGGATTCAGATGGCCGAGGTTGGGGCACCCTTGGGACAGTGCTCTCCAGTCTAGCTTGGGTCAAGAAGGTGGCCTGGGGTCCTTGCTCTGCTTGCCCCCACCTCTACCCTCTGCTAGTCCTGCAGTTGCGCCTGTGCCATCTCTGCCCCACCTCAAGTGTGTGTAACTCACTGCACCCCTATTCTGTCCTCCTCCCTTTCAGAACCTGTCTGTGTGTGAGGGCCTCAGTCCTCTCTCGGAGGTGCCCAGAGGACCGTGGGAAGGAGGGCTAAAGTCTCTTTCCAGAGGAGCCCACACAGACCCTCATCTCCCACAACCACACTTTTGGGGTGAACAGGGTGACTTTGTTAGGTCAATTCTTCTGCAGAGATGGTGAAGTACTTTATCTGCCCACCCACCCACTAAAAGCCATAGCTCCATCTGCCTGTCCTCCCCCAGCTCTATAGCAATAGCCCCCTTCCCCCTTCCCTCCTGGGCATCCAAGGTGTCCAGCTGGGGGCCCCCACTGCACTCTGGCCCCAGGGATCTTCCAGTGGCCTACCTGCCTCTCCCGAAGTGACTCCATCAGCGCCGCTCAACTCCCGTCCCTCTTCCAGCAACCACTGGAAGGTGCTTGGAGATCCCCTAGATGAAAGGTTCTGGGTGCTGGGGCAGCTGACTCACTGGCTCAGCTGAGGTGCCGGAGGTGCCTGGGAAAGGAAATAAGGCAAGCTGAGGCAGCACCTGTGGCAGACACATGGTTCCAATTTCACAGAAATTCCCCTCCTCGCCCTCCTGCAAATAATGGAGACTTCCCTCCACCCACCTGCACAGAAGCGTCTGTGCAGCAGAACGAGACTGGGAGCTGGAGTCAGTGGTCTGCTCTTGGCCTCAGGGGCCCAACACTCCTCAGCTTCAGGGCCCTGGAGAGGCCCCACCCTCCCTGGGTCTGGCTTGAGAGCCCACCTGGCCAAAGGGAAGCCTCCCACCCCCATGCCCTGCCCGCCCCTGGAATGCCTTGGTGACTAAGAAGGGAAAGGATTGTATTTCTCTCTCCTCTGCTGCACGAATCCCCACTGGGAGAGAGAGAGTGTTGAAGAGGACACTCAGGGTCCCTAGGTGGAGCTCCTGCCACACCTCACGTGTGGACAGCTCCAGGACAGACAGCTGCAGGCAGGGACCTCCCCCTGCTCTGGAAATCAGCCAGGGAGCACTGGGCAGTGCAGTTTGAGGCTCTGTACCCCTGGCCCCCACAGCCCAGCCATAGCACCCTCTAGCTTGGGGGACTAGTCCGGGGTCAAAATGGGGTAGCCCTTCCCCATATAAGCAGTAGGATGGCGTCCCCCCTGGTGGAGAGAGGAAGGTGGCCTAGAGGGTGTGGGGCAGCTTCTCAGCGTGGGGAGCCAGGGGTCTCCAAGCACCTTCTCCTGGACATGTCAGCCTTAGGGGGCGCGCAGGGCTTCAGACCCACCTGGCAGGAGCCTTGTGGACAGGGCAGAGGAACCCTGCTCCAAATTCTCTGTTGGCTGCGCTTTCGAATCCAATGCTTTTCAGAGTGTATTCACTCACCCACAGAAATAGAGCCCTGTGCTTTAGGGGTGACTGTCATATGCCTTATTCTTAATAAAATCTCTGAAAAACATGTGAGTCCAAAAATCTCTTACATTGGGCACTCGGCCCCACCGCACCTCGGTTCTGGCAGGTGTGGGAAGAGCATGTGGAGGAGCCGAGAGGTGGTTCAGAGTCAGCCAGTGGGTACGATGAGACCAGGAGCTGAGACTCTGGGGTACCCTCAGTAGATAAGCCTCAGATCAGCTGGGCACGGTGGCTCACGCCTGCCATCCCAGCACTTTGGGAGGCCAAGGTGGGCAGGTTGCTTGAGGTCAGGAGTTCAAGGCCAGCCTAGCCAACATAGTGAAACCCCGCCTCTACTAAAAATACAAAATTTAGCCAGGTGTGGTGGCACGTGCCTGTAATCCCAGCTACTCAGGAGGCTGAGGCAGGAGAATCCCTTGAACCTGGGAGGCGGAGGATCCAGTGAGCCGAGATCACGCCAATGTATTCCAGCCTGGGTGACAGAGTGAGACGATCCCCAAAAAAAAGCTATTCTGGCCGGGCACAGTGGCTCATGCCTGTAATCCCAGCACTCTGGGAGCCGAGGCGGGTGGATCACGAGGTCAGGAGATCAAGACCATCCTGGCTAACACTGTGAAACCCCATCTCTACTAAAAAATACAAAAAATTAGCCGAGCGTGGTGGCGGGCGCCTGTAGTCCCAGCTACTCGGGAGGCTGAGGCAGGAGAATGGCATGAACCCGGGAGGCGGAGCTTGCAGTGAGCCGGGATGGCGCCACTGCACTCCAGCCTGGGCGACAGAGCGAGACTCCATCTCAAAAAAAAAAAAAAAAAAAAAAAGCTGTTCCTCAGATCAAGTATAAGGCACCCATCTGAGGTGTCCTCACCCTCAGCCGAGCCCAGCCCCTCTCTCCATCCCACCCCAATCCAAAGGAACAAACAGAATCTTAGATCACAGGCTCCTGACTAGAGTGGAGAGGAGAAGACTGGAAGGGCCCAAGGGCCCAGTGCCTGGAATTGCCCCACTGTCCTTTCCCAGAAGGAATCCTGGGTTCCGGCATCTTTGGCCACGCTGGTGCCCTGCCCCCCACCTGATCCACCTGCCAGATGCCCCGCATCCCAGCAGGAGCCCCTATTCTTATCCTCCACTAATGAAGGTTATCCTGGGACTGCAGCTTTAGGAGCTCAGCGCAGCCAGCACCCATGAGAACTCAAGCCGGTACATTTTCAGTGCAGGTCTACGTTAGGGATGACTCAGAGAAAAAGGCAGCAGCTCTCTGTTCTAAGGACGCAGGAGACCAAAACCAAAACCAAAAAAAATGGCTTTGCTTGCAACCCTCCTGATAACAGGACCCACCTCTTCCTCCTGGGGAACTGCTCTGCACCCATCTCAGTCCACGCTTTGGGAGGGCCAGCTCCACTCATGTGGCCCAGGCAGGGCAGGTCACACTGATCGGGCTGAAGATGACATGCAACTCCATCTGAGCCAACAAGAGTCATTCTTGGGCCTTTTGCTGGAGCCATTCATTCAGCACGCCATGTCAGATGCTATTTAGTTCAGCGGCGAACAAAGCAGGACTATGGAGAAGGACAAACACTTGGGTGGCTAAAATGGCACCCAAGAAATCTGGCAGGTCATTTGCCACCACAAGGGGTAAAGCTGCCTGAGTATAAAGCTACCAGAAGAGAAACAGAACGGCCAGGTGCAGTGGCTCATGCCTGTAATCCTAGCACTTTGGGAGGCCGAGGCGGGCGGATCAAGAGGTCCGGAGTTCGAGACCAGCCTGGCCAACATGGTAAAACCCCGTCTCTATGAAAAGCACAAAAAAAAGCCGGGCATGGTGGTGGGCACCTGTAATCCCAGTTACTCAGGAGGCTGAGGCAGGAGAATCCTTTGAACCTGGGAGATGGAGGTTGCAGTGAGCCAAGATCATGCCATTGCACAGCAGCCTGGGCGACAGAGTGAGACTCCATCACAAAAAAAAAAAAGAGAAATGGAACAAAGAGATATGGAGAGACAATTCAGATAATCAGGTCACCTGGATCCAGCCATACCCAAAGCTCACAGACTCTTACCCTTTTCTGTTACATGGATCAATAAATCCCCTCCCCCTCCCAAACTTAGGTGTGGGATTTTTTTTGTTTCTGTTTGTTTTGTTTTGTTTTGTTTTTGAGACAGAGTTTCCCTCTTGTTGCCCAGACTGGAGTGCAATGGCACAATCTCAACTCACTGCAACCTCTGCCTCCCAGGTTCAAGCGATTCTCCTGCCTCAGCCTCCTCCTGAGTAGCTGGGATTACAGGCACGTGCCACCACGCCCGGCTGATTTTGTATTTTTAGTAGAGAGGGGGTTTCACCATGTTGGTCAGGCTGGTCTTGAACTCCCGACCTCAGCTGATCCGCCCACCTTGGCTTCCAAAAGTGCTGGGATTACAGGCGTGAGCCACCACTCCTGGCTGTTTCTGTTTTTTAGGGACAAGGTCTCGCAGTGTTGCTCAAGCTGCACTTGAACTCTGGTGCTCAAAGGGATCCTTCCATCTCAGCCTTCTGAGCAACTGAGAGTACAGGCCTAGCTAACAACACACACACACACACACACACGTATATGTATACACAAAATATATATATTTTGACACAGAGTCTTGCTCTATTGCCCAGGCTGGAGTGCAGTGGCTGGCTATGTGGAAAAAAACGCGCCCGGCCAGTTTTTTCCTGCTTTTTATTTTGAACTTAGTTTCTTGCTTAAGCCTCTAGGCTCAGGTTTGGACCCGGGAAGGGCTGGGACCAGGACCCGCTACAAGCGCAGGAAGGCTGGCCCAGGCCTCTTCTTGTTCTTGGCCTTTTATCTCCTGGGGCAGTGAGGGAACCAAAGGCCCAGCCTTGGATATACATCTGCCCAAGACTCTTGAGTCTCGTGTACAATTTCAGAAAAGGAGAAAAGAAAGGGAGCAGGGCACAGTGGCTCACGCCTGTAATTCCAACACTCTGGGGGCCGAGGCAGGTGGATCACTTGAGGTCAGGAGTTTGAGACCAGGCTTGCCAACATGGTGAAACGCCATCTCTACTAAAACTACAAAAATTAGCTTGGCGTGGTGACGCGACCCTATAATTCCAGCTACTCCGGAGGCTGAGGCAAGAGAATTGCTTGAACCTGGGAGGCAGAGGCTGCAGTGAGCCGGGGTCGTGCCACTGAACTCCAGCCTGGGCAACAGAGTGAGATTCCATCTCAAAAAAGGAAAGAAAACGAAAGAGAAGGGAAGGGCAGGGCACAGGCCTTAGGGTTCCCCAGACAGACCCCCGGGGATGCTTAGCTAAGCCCATCCCAGAGTCACAGTTCAGGGTGGAGATATGAAATGTTAGAACCAGATAACTGTTTTGTTCGTTTGTTTGTTTGTTTTGAGAGGGAGTTTCACTGTCACCCAGGCTGGAGTGCAATGGCGCAATCTCAGCTCACTGCAACCTCCTCCTCCTGGGCTCCAGCAATCCTCCCACCTCAGCCTCCTGAGTAGCTGGGATTATAGGCATGCACCACTCACGCCCAGTTGATTTTTTTTTTTTTGTATTTTAGTAAAGCCGGGGTTTCACCATGTTGGCCAGGCTGGTCTCAAACCCCTGACCTCAAGTGATCCACCCACCTGGGCCTCCCCAAGTGCTGGGATTACAGGCGTGAGCCACTGTGCCTGGCCTCAGATAACTCTTAAAGATCATCTATGCAACCCTTTCATTTTACACATGGGGAGACTGAAGCTCAGGGCATCTTACTGGCGGTTATTCCTGCCTTCCGGGCAGTTCTGCCCATGTAGTTTTGGGGTTGAGGGAGGTGGAGCACTTCCTTTCTAGGGGTTCCCAGAGATTGGCCAGGGAAGTAGGGGACTCTCTGCCACAGTCCAAGGGATTTGGGTTCCCTCGTCACCTCTCCAGCCCCCTAGGGAACTCTGCAAAGGAGGGGGAAGCAGGAATGTAGGAATGGCCAGCTGAGTGGGTGTATCCATGATAACGGTAATTAGGGAGGTGGGAGGCTTTGAGCGGGCTAATTATGCAGGCTGAGTCTCAGACTAGATAACCCTCCCTTCTTATCTTTATGCAGGGACCCAAAAGATGAGAAACCTGCAGTGCTCAGGAAGCCAGGAGGTAGCCCTGAGGATGCCTGCTGTGCAGCAGGACCCTGTGAGGGAAAGGGGAAGGGAGCCACTGAAGATAAACTGAAGACGATTTTGTTTGTTTCTGTTTTTTGAGGCGGGGTCTTGCTCTGTCACCCAGGCTGGAATGTAGTGGCGGGATCTTGGCTCACTGCAACCTCTGCTTCCTGGGTTCAAGCGATTCTTCTGCCTCAGCTTGGGAGTAGCTGGGATTACAGGTGCCCGCCACCTCACCAGGTTAATTTTTGTGCTTTTAGTAGAGACAGGGTTTCGCCATGTTGGCCAGGCTGGTCTCGAACTCCTGACCTCACGTGATTCGTCTGCTTTGGCCTCCCAAAGTACTGGGATTACAGACCCAGGCTGGAGTGCAGCGGCGCGATCTTGGCTCACTGCAAGCTCCGCCTCCCAGGTTCACGCCATTCTCCTGCCTCAGCCTCCGAGTAGCTGGGACTACAGGCGCGCACCACCATGCCTGGCTAATTTTTTGTATTTTTAGTAGAGACAGGGTTTCACCGTGTTAGCCAGGACGGTCTCGATCTCCTGACCTCGTGATCCGGCCACCTCGGCCTCCCAAAGTGTTGGGATTACAGGCGTGAGCCACCGCGCCCGGCTAAACTGCAGATTCTAAAGCTGCTGGGACTGGTTCATCACTAGGCCCGTGGACCAACTGGTCATCGGTCCCCATACTGACCAGTAGGCACTTATGGACACTCACTGACACTGAAGAGGACAGGGAGAAGTGCCTCTGCTGGGCATCCTGCTGGTGGGTCTCAGCCAGGCATTATGGAAATGATCTGAAAGTTTTAGACACAAAGGTCAAAGTACAGAGTACACAAAATGAGTATCTGAAAGGAAAGCCAGCTGTGATAAATAATGGGGGGATCGGCCAGGCGCAGTGGCTCACGCCTGTAATCCCAGCACTTTGGGAGG